TCGCATCTGGTGTAGACACGGTGCGAGTCTTCAGGCATTTTTTGACTTTTTGTTATTGCTTTAATGCAAAGGAAACCAGTGCGCCCGCCACGCCATTATTTTTTGCGTAGTGACGGGTACAGGGCTGGACTGGGGTTAAAATTCGTCCCTGGACAAATCCAGCCTACCCGGCCCTCAAGGTCCCCTGTGAATGTTTTGCTGTGTTATAGGGCCTTCAATTGGAGTAAGTAAATAAATAAATAAATAAAAGGACAAAAACAAATAATGATATATTACTGAATGCACAGCAAATGCAACAAACTAATAGCCTACTGCATTTTTGTCACATAGAAATGCACTTGACAGTATAAGCATTGATTTTGTGCTAGAACATAGGAAATTTACTGCTAATAAATGCTGTCATCCTTTCCTCACCCTCATGTCTTTCCAAACCTGTATGACTTACTTTCTTCTGTAAAACACAAAAGATATTTTGTAGAATGTTACCAAACCATTTTGGTTACTCTTGATTTCTACTGTATGGACAATCATTTCTTGAATTTCTCAAAATATCTTATTTTATGCTCCACAGAAGAAAGAAATTCATACAGGTTTGGAATGACATGATGCTGAGTAGCCTAAATGAAGACAGTTTTAATTTTTGGGTGAACTATCCCTTTAAGAACTTTATAATATTTGTAAATGGAAAACACCTCATTTATAAGTGTCTCTAAATTACAGAGACACTGGTTTTTATCTTTAATCAGGCTCTTACTGAATTAACATTTTACTTAAATTAAAAGTAATTAGAATGAAACATTTAAAGAGAAATAAGCTATTAAAGTTAGTTTACATGCGGTTTGTTTACATGCATTTTACCTTGTCGTGGCTGTATTCAGGCAGAACCTTTAATGTTGTCATATCACACAACTGTATAACACAATTCTGTGTCATTTCTGAATGGATCGAGCGACTTGCGCTATTTATCTCTTATAAATCGTGGCGGAAGCACAGCGCTGTGCGGGAGACTGATCCCGCTCTGCTTTAACGATGCACCGGGAAGCACCACTTCACACTTTTGGAGTACTTGCTTTTTGCAGTTTCGCGTGGGCTGTAATTTAAAAACAGCGCCTAATATGAGGTCTCCCTCGCTTCGGCGATCGACCCACTGGGAATGTCCCGGTGCTCCCGATGGCCAGTAGCTACATCGCTGGGTATGTTCAAGTAAACTAGATGCCCAGATGCTGCGCAATTAGGCTTATTTAATATATCATGATGAGTCTCGAGTTCAGTATTTACACTAAATCTGCGCAGATTTGGCTTACATGAACTTCCTCAAGAAATTAATTAGTAAACATAATTTACGAAAAGTAACCCGCAAAATTGGCTAGTGATTTGACAGCGTTACCCGCCACAGCTGATTTTTTACCCGCATTTGCCGGGTTGGTGGGTGTTAATTTCAAACCCTGGTTGTTTTTATGTTTTTTCTACCTTATCACCAAGTGGCAGAGCTGCGTTTTTTGTTGTTGTTTTTTTTTTACCAAAGATTGAGCTCATACACAGGTGTACCGAGTTTGGTGAAGATATCTCATTCCGTTCAAGAGTTATGGCTACATTTAGCAATTGGCTAACATTAGCATAGAACATTTTTGCGTACTGTTGCGCGTGAAAATCGAAATTTCTACTTTTTTTATAATTATTAATATTCACTCTCCAGAGAATATTTCTGCAGTGGTTTGGTTCCGATCAGGCGAAAAACCTAGGACTAGTTTACAAAAGTAGGTTTTGGACATAACTCAATTTTGCGGAAAAACCGGACTTCATAGAACAAATCCACCGATAGCAGTTTTGTTTGTTGTGACCCAAGGATTACAACGATGTAAAGATAAATGAGTCTTTGATAAATGGTGTATGAGCTAGGGCCAAAAATGTCTGAAATAAAAAAAAATTTGCGCTGTAATGCCCCCTTTAGGGGCGAGTCTTTGGATCTGAGTAGCAAGCAATACTACTACGATCTAACCAAGTTTCAGCTCTCTAGGCCTTACGGTTTGGGCTGCACGATCAGTTTTTATCGGAGAAAAATAATAATTAAAAAAAAAATCCTTACAATTACAATAGGGTTTCAGCACTATGTGCTTGAACCCCTAATAATAAGAAATGTTTTTTTGTGCACCACATCAGCATATTAGAATGTTTTCTGAAGCATCATGCGACACTGAGGATTCAGCTTTGCCATTTAAGAAATAAATTACATTTTAAAATATATTAAAGTAGAAAACAGCATTTTAAATTGTAATATTTCACAACATTGTTTACTGTATTTTTGATTAAATAAACAAAAAAAACTTTGACTTTTGAACAGTAAAGTATATATTCTGTTATTTTCTAAAATATATATTGTGTATTATATATAATAACAGAATGGTAAAACACTTTCTGTTTGTTGTGTTTAAAAATCCATTAAATATCATGCTGTCAGGCTGTGAATGGAAAAGTACAAGGAAATTCTTACAAAATTAGTAGAGGTGCTAAATGTCATGTTTCAGTTGAGCTTTGGACTGATGGGTGGCATTCAGGTGGAAAGCAGCAGTGAGACCGCAGTGAACATGAGCCTTAATGAAAACTTTTCCAACATCAGGAGTCTCCAGGTTACGATGGAGTAGTTCATTGAGTCATACTACACCGACGTCTCTACCTTTGTTGTCCATACTAACATGAACAAGCCTAATCAAAGAGGTTTAACTCACAACTTCCACACTTGTCTTCTTCATTAAAAACCACCAATTTACCAGTACAAACAGTTTTGTCAATTAGAAATGTTTACTGCCTTTACTTAAAAGAGCTGAAATATCAGTTGTGAAACTTAAACAAGCTGTAAAAGCAACCCAGAAGCTTAGTCATCTGAAAAGAGACTACAAACCAAAGTCTTATACATTTCTTTTCATATTCAGAAATATACTATATAACACTATATAATATAATATAGTTTTTAATTTTATTATTACATCATTTTCAGAACTACACAGAGACAGGACGCATTCATTCTAGAGAGAGCTAAGGAGACGGAGAGCAAATGATTGCAACAGGAAACTGACATGCTCTTTAAAAATAACTATTTAAAATACACAACACATTGGAAAATGTAACTCCAAGAGAACTCCCTTCAAGCCAGTCATGACGAAAATAGTGTGCCTGCTTATTATGATAATTACAGTAATCTGCAGGGGGTACAAAAAGATGACCTTTGAGGTGTTTTGAGGTCATTTTCAAATGTTCTTCTTAAATCTGACCCCTGGTTGAATTACAGTTGACAGGCCAAACTTCCCAAGGGATTCCATACATTGTTTAGCCTCATTCTGACCACTGCCTAAAAGAATCTGGCCTTGAGTAGGGCCTTTTCATTTTGACAACACTAGTTTTGGCATAAAATGCCTTAGGAGCTCTTAGTAAGAAGTTTTTTATGGAAAAGCTCCATTATGGACAGCAGAGTGCAAAAGAGAATACAAAACACTAAAGACAGAAAAACTTAAAAACAGAAGTGAAATATCCAAACTGCAAATGGATGATGACAATTACAATGGTAAGAATTTCATGGCTAAATCGGTATAGCAACACCTGCTATCACAAGCTCAATTGAATATATCACAATGATATAAATAAAATGATATCACAAACTGAAATCACATTAGCAGATCCCCACTGCAGTCCACCTCGTTTCACTGAAATCACTTCATGTTGCCACATTTGTTTGCAATATTAGTTCCAGTTCTCCTTAATGGTTTTGTGGTTTGTCTGGTGGCTGCTCAGATATTCTTTGAAATGATCAAGACAACTCTAATATCTCACTGAGGTTTTGGAAGAAGAGAAAGGGAACAGACAACCAGAGATAGTCTGAATTGCTGTAATTGAATGTTCACACACACATGCACTGAAAGAGCAGTTGACTGAGGTATGTTTGCGTGGAGTGTTATTGATCGATGTGTGAGGGAAAGCTTGGACCTATGTGTTCTTAAACCCCACAGAAGACAGTCAAACCTCTTTCTCTTCCAAATACACACACACATAATCTCTCTCCAGTCCACACATGCTAATTCTCAGCTTGAAGCAGATATGATAACACAGGGGGTCAGTTGAAGAAACACATACGTATGTTTTTACATTTACGTATATGTGGAAATTTTCTTCCTTGTTATTATTAGATGATCATTTGTGAATTCCTCCCTCTGGGTTTTGATCTCTGAAGGAAATCACATTTGTGCCTAACATCAGTTACCAAGGAGCACAACTCTCAGCATCCACTCATCTGTCACTCTATTTCCTTCCCATTTATTGCCCTTCTATCAATTTTCTTTCCTCTCCTTGTTTTTCTTTGCGCTTAATTTCTTCTCAGAGGTCCATCTCATATCCTTCCTGGTGTCATATACTGTATTTATGATGGGGCATTTATGGGCTGAGCATATCTGACTACTCGCGTTTACTCATGCGGCTGTAATTGTCTTATTGCCCTCTGCTATATGAAGATGAGTTACATCAACAGGCTGCCTCTCCCTGGAAACCACAGGAGCTGCGCGAATGTGTATGTTTGTTTATCTAAATGACTCACATCTGTTTTAGCAGCAGACAAGCCAACATCTGTTCCTCTCCATAACGCATCTGCCCTGAGTCTACGGTTCAGCATATCACTGCAGATCTCTGCTTCATTCATCTACATTAACTGTGTTTCCTTTCTCCTGTTTTATTCTTAATTGTGTGTGTGCACACAGGTTCATTTTTCATCCACAAGGTTGGAAAAGCTTGGGTAAATTATTCCCTCATAAAGGTTTTACGATCTGAAGTATTAAACCATAAATTCACACCTTCTTCATTGCTTCAGTATCCTTCCCTTTCCTCTGCACTCTTCTCTTGCTTGGTAATAATAGTTTCAGTCACTTTTCCTGCATTGGTTAGACTTGATCTAATCCAGACATGAACATGTCTCCACACATAATAGCTCTCTTTTTCTTTTTTTGTCTTACCGTGCTGTGTGGTGTCTTTCTCTGGCTCCTCCAGGGTTGTTTGAGTTATTTTCCTTTCCTTTGATTCTTTTTTTAGTTTAAGTGATACTCCACCGTTCTTCAGTGCTCTCCAGTGCAACTGTTTTCATATCTCTCTCTTGGCTGCTCTAGGTGTACAAGCAGCAGGCATCAGTGAGTGTATGCGCTCTGGGTCGGCGTCTGTGCGAGCAGGAGGAGGACTTAGCGGGGAAAGCAGCGAATTATCAACGAGAGATCCGGCACCTGCAGAGCCAACTCAGAGACAGACAGGAACAACTGCACGGAGCTCTGCAGCAGAAGAGGTGATCCTCTCCCTCTCTCACACACACACACACACACACACACACTCTCTCTCTCCCCCTCTTGCTTTGTGTGAATAGAGGGATGCAGCAGAAGAGGTGAGAGCAGTAGTGGAGCAGCTGTCACAGAGGCACAGACCAATAACAGATAGTGGAGAAAGAGAGAGAGAGAGAGAGAGGAGGGGCAGTAGACTAGCTGGCACAGCTGCAGACTCATCTGTCTAAATGTTCCATGTACTCTCATAATTACATTCACTTTTCTTTCATTTGCTACTTTCTCTGTCTTATGGCCCTGTGTACCTGTTCATTCTTGCAGCTTACTTTTAGTTTGGGGTTTCTGAATAAGACAATCATTCAGTTTCTGACTGAAATCCTAACAAAAATTATAAATTCAGAAACTTGAAATATTTGCTGTACTCTCTCATGCCTAAAATTTTTTGATATTTTTAACAATATTATTGGTAACATTTTACAGTAAGGTTAAATTAATTACTTGACCTATACCTTTACATTATATATTTTTAAATACATAAGTACATTTTTAAGATTGTGTAATTTGTAGTTTTTAAGTTGTGTAATTTAACATAGTTAAAGGTGTAGTTCACCCAAAAATGAAGTCTGTCATTAATTACTCACCCTCATGTCTTTCCAAACCCATAAGAGCTTTCTGACCCTGCATAGACAGCAGCACAACTATCACGTTCAAGGCCCAGAAAGGTAGTAAGGACATCTTTAAAATAGTCCATGTGACATCAGTGGTTCAATCGTAATTTTATGAAGCTACGAGAATACTTTTTGTGCACAAAGAAATAAAAAAATAACGACTAGTAACTTCCAGTCAGTCTCTGCCGCCATTCACAAGACTACCACGACTCTTGAATGTGCATTCCTTTGCTCGTAAACAAGCCACAGCGCATCCGGGTTCTACATCAGAACGCCGGCTCCTGCATCAGCAGCACCACACACATGCATCGTGTTACTCTTGTGAACTTGTTGAATAAATTATTATTTTTGTATAAATTATTATTTTTGAATAAAACATTATTTTTGTTTTCTTTGAGCACAAAAAGTATTCTCGTAGCTTCATAAAATTACGGCTGAACCACTGATGTCACATGGACTATTTTAACAATGTTCTTAAAGGGATAGTTCACTCAAAAGTGAAAATTCTGTCTTTAATTACTCACCCCTTTGTTCATCTTCGGAACACAAATTAAGATATTTGATTCAACCGTAATTTTACAAGAATAATTTTTGTGCGAAAAAAAACAATATTCAACCATTTTTCTCCTCCGCGTCACCCTAGCGCCATTTTGGAGAATACCACGATGCATATATGTGCTTTGATATGCACGTAAACAATGCATGCACATGGTGCTGCTGACGTACCACACGCTTGCGCTGCTGCTTGTTTAAGTTCAGAGGAAAGCACGCATATGCATCGTGATACTCCAAAATGGCACTAGGGCTGAAGCGGAGAAGAATTGTTGAATAAAGTCATTATTTTTATAATTTTTTTGCGCACAAAAAGTATGTTGAACCACTTATGACACATGGTTGAACCACTGATGTCACATGGAATGTTTTGTTGATGTTCTTGGTACGTTTCTGGACCTTGAACGTAGTAGGAACCTTGCTGTCTATGCAGGGTCAGAAAGCTCTCGGATTTAATTAAAAATATCTTATTTTATGTACCGAAGACGAACAAAAGGTCTTACGGGTTTGGAATTACACGAGGGTGAGTAATTATTGACATAATTTTTATTTTTGAGTGAACTATCCCTTTAATGTATTATGCACAAACATACATTATCCTAGATTTATTATTCATTATTTTTTATCAAATCATGTTTCTCAAATGTTTTTATTGGGTTTTATGGTTTTATATTTGGAGGAGCAGAGCTTTTTCTTTTGCTTTCTAAATAGCACAAAAGTGTTTCTGTATTTGAGTGCAGATGCCACGGGCAGCCTTGGAGCAGAAGAGGAAAAACTAGTTAAAGGGGTCATATGACGTTGCTAAAAAAGAACATTATTTTGTGTATTTGGTGTAATGAAATGTGTTTATGCGGTTTAAGGTAAAAAAAAAACACATTCTTTTCCACATACTGTACATTATTGTTTCTCCTCTATGCCCCGGAAAAACACACAGCTTCTCCACGACATGGTGGCAACAATACTACAACGAGAATCAAAGTTACGCCTTCTTTCTTTCCGTGAAAATTTAGGCAGTGTTATGCAAATCTTCCCACACAGTGATGTGTGGGGGCATGTTTAAACGAGGCGTTTTAGGAGGGCGTGGACGAGTCTTAACTTTTATAAAGAATATCTCTTTGGGTTTGAGACTTTAGTCTTTGCAACTTTAGGGATCTTATCTATTCACGAACAGCTTGTAACACTCCAAAGAGAAAGGAAAACTTGAAATTGCATCATATGACCCCTTTAAAAGGAAAGACGGGTTTTACAATTCCTTACACGGTCTTGAGAAACGTCCTTTCCACTTTTTTAAATTATAACAACTTCCTCAAGGCTGACGAGAGCCAATAGCCTTTTCAAGGTTGTTATGGCAATGTGTATGGCAGAGTAGAGCTGGTGTGCTTATTGTGTTAAAAGTCATATGTCACACAAGTTGTGTGCACGTGTGTGTGTGTGTAAAACACTAATAACAAAGAATGTATTGTATGTTAATATTGTATGTGTAACACGTAACTGCATACAGCACTCACAGTACTAGACAAGACAGAGACAAGTCAGACAGTCAAGGCAGGATAGAGTGTCCACTGTCCAGCTAAGGACAGACAAACACTGATGGACTCAGATCTGCTCTGCTGTCTGAACTGCTCACTTCATCCTCATAAACTATGACACACACTATTCTTGTTCAGAATTTGAGCCATGTCCAACTCAGCTCCACTTCTTGCAGTATACTCGCTCACCCAGTAAACGCTTACAGTCTCTCACTCTCGCAACACTACATCAAAGCTCATTTTGAAGTCAGTTCCCTACCCAAGCCTGAGTGTGAGGTTTTTAAATGTCAGCTTTGATAAGTCAGTTAAATGCTTCTCCTTCAGAAGAGTTTGTTTTTATGTGGTGTGTGTGTGTGTGTGTGTTTGAGATTACTTGTGAAGTATATGAAAGGAACATAAAAGATATTGAGAAATTCAAGAAATGTTTGTCCGTACAGTAGAAATCAAGAGTAACTAAAATGGTTTGGTAACATTCTACAAAATATCTTTTGTGTTTTACAGAAGAAAGTAAGTCATACAGGTTTGAAAAGACATGAGGGTGAGGAAAGGATGAGAGGATTTTAAATGTCCCTTAAACTCTCTAAGAGTGGGGCACTGCCGGATATAATGAGGTAAACCATTCCACAGCCAGTGACTCAGAACGTAACATTCTCTTTGGTTTCTTCACCTAGATCAGATCAGCTATATATGATGGAGCTGTACCATGTAAGGCTTTAAAAATAAATAATAATATCTTAAAATCAGTCCTATAAGAAACCGACAGCCAGTGTAGTTCTCTTAATACAGGAGTGATATGCTTATTTTTCAGAGTACCTGTCAAAAGTCTTGCGGCCGTATTTTGCACCAGCTGTAGTCTGCCCAAACATTTATATTGAACACCATAGTACAGTGAGTTACAGTAGTCTAATCTTGAGAAAATAAAAGCATGGATAACCTTTTCCAGGTCCTTCCGAGATAAAAAAAAAAGGCTTCATTTTAGAGATTAATTTCAATTGAAAAAAACTAAATTTGACAACTTCATTTATTTATCAAATTTCAGTGCACTATCACAAACTATACTTAAGTTTTTTACTTGATGTGTCCGAAAAGGGGATAGTATACCCAACTCAATTTTGGATGTATCAACAGACTCAGAAGGGCCGAATAAAATCAATTTGGTTTTTGATTCATTTAAACATAGCAAATTATCAGACATCCATACCTTAATCTCACCAAGACATTCCACTAACCTTTCTACAGCGATAGTGGCAGTTGGCTTCAGAGGTAGATACAACTGGTTGTTGTCTGCGTAACAGTGAAATGACACACCATATTTACTCAAGATCTGACCTAACGGGAGCATATACAGTGAAAAAAAGACTGGTGCTAAAATAGAACCTTGTGGAATACCACAAGATACAGGCGCTGAGGTCGACATACCTTCACCCATCTGAACAGAGAAACTTCTGCCTTGAAAATAAGACTTAATCCAGTTCAAGGCATTACCTCGAATACCTACACAAGTTTCTAGCCGTGAGATCAAAATCTGATGGTTGATTGTATCAAACGCCGCTGTAAGATCTAAAAGCAAAAGTAGAGTTACATCACCAGAGTCAGTTGCCATAAAAATGTTGTTAAAAACTCTCAATAATGCAGATTCTGTACTATGATGTTTTTTAAATCCCGACTGAAAGACTTCACCGATAGCATTATAAGTAAGGAAGGACTCAAGTTGATTAAAATCAGTTTTCTCCAAAATCTTTGCTAAAAAAATAAGCTTTGAAATTGGTCTATAATTGCACAACACACTCTTATCCAGGCTTGATTTCTTCAATTAAGGCTGCACTATGGCATGTTTACAATAAGTTGGAACAATTCCAGAAAGTAAACTCTTATTAATTATTGATAATACAAATGGACCAATCAACTCAATAACTTGCTTTAGTAGCTTTGTTGGAACAATATCTCCTAATTTAACTTTGTACTGTACAGAAGCAAAATGAACAGATGAGACTGTAAAATTTAGAGTATACTGCAAATTATACTGATTCTTTTGCTATTGTACATTAGCAAGGCCATGCGATGTTAATAGATTAACTCTTAATTGTGCTGTAATATTTCCATATCCATAGATATCTTGTGAGTTCAGTGCCATGATACAGTCACAGATGTTTCAGATACACATAGGAATTAATAATGTAACATTAATACTTAAATGTTGTAATAATGATTTTTGATTAAATATTAGAGTTTACTTATAAATATTATTTATTATTATATTATTATTTACAATAATAAAGCTATAATTAATATAGGTACTCTCTGTGCCATCCACCATACAGTCTGCAACTTGTCAAATATAATTGAATTGATATAATGTGTTCAGAAAGAAAAATTGGACCTACTTTATATAAAGCGTCTTTAACTATAAATTATTTTTACAATGAGAATTACAATTACTTATTTTACTGAGAAATACATGTATGTAATTGCATCTACAATTAGTTTCTGTTGTTACATCTACAGCCTATAGCCACCCTTAAACCTACCCATACCCACCTCAATAACACCAAAGGTATTTTGTAATACAACATGAACACAATATGTGCATTGTAACCTAACAATTATTTATTTGTTTGGACAAAAATACATAGCACCAATAGCTTTGTGGGCAGTGCGCCGACATATAGCGCAGTTGCGCTTTGGGCGTCCCGAGTTTGTGTCCCGGCTCACAGACCTTTCCCGATCCCATCCCCTTCATGTCAGGCTCTGGGCCAGGTTTTGTGTGTGTCTTGGCTCCCTATGTGCTCCATCATCTAGTTTCTCTGTCTCGTGTTTTGAATTCATTGTTCCCAGGTGTTTCCTATGTTAATTGTCATTAGTTCCAGGTGTCCCTTGTCTTCCCCTCATCAGTTCCTCTGTATTTAAAGTGTGTTCTAGTGCTTGTCCTTTGTCAGTCGTTAAACGTCATTCTGTCATCCTGATGTGTCGAGTCCTGTGATCCCCAGCCTTTGTTTAATAAACCCTTTTGAGTTACTTTACTCCGTGCCTCCTTGCTCCTTCGTTCCTCGTGTGTGTGCACCGTGACACTTCACATAGTAGTTAGTCATCTAATAGAAAGTGGGCCCAAAAAACATTATTTTTAAGTTTTTAATGAATGACATTTTACGGTGTTATTATTGTACATTGTTGTGTTGTATGCTGCCTGAGAGGAGTAACTGCTCTGTAGACTAGAGCAAAAAATGCTTGTTCATCACTGGCTGTTTAACTTAATTTTTTTTAGGTCATGATTTAAACCCACTTCCCTAAAGTAAGTTTAACAGAAACAAACTATGAGTAAACTAACAAAACTTAGATCATGCCTCATCTCGCCTAAGGTACCATCTGAGCCAAGACTCACATTGGTGCTTTCTCAACAACCATAGAGTAGATCATGTGGTTACAAACCTAGGACCTTAACCGCTAGATAATGGAAGAAACCAAGCATGAAGTCAAGATTTCTTATCTCTGACATTAGCCATTCACCAGTAAATTACAGCTTGGTTGATGTGACGTAGATGACTTGTATGGCGTCATCCAAAGTGGCTTTTACACACAGTGACACAGCAGAATGTACCACAACCTCATTACGCAAATGACTACTGCTTCCATAAACCTGCTTCCCAGTGCAGCATTCACAAAGTACTCTCCCATCTCTCTGTGTGTCTCTCATTTCTTTTTTAATCTCTTGTAGAAGACTTTGATGCTAAAACCAGCCGGGTCAATACTGGTCTCTCTCATCTTTCATCTCCTGACGTTCACCACTCAAGACGTGTCATTTCTTTCCTTCACACCCACTCGCACCCGTCTCTCTGGTCCTCTTCCTCTCTCTTTTGGCAACTGGGTCATGAGAATGAGAGCGAAAGCAAGCACTAGCAATCGATTAGATGGTGAGAGAAGGGCCTGTAGTAAGGCATTATCTGAATAATTATTATTTTCTGCCTTCATGTATTTTAAAAGGACGATATTAGCGCATTAAAAAGCCATTAACCTATAAACTTGTTTTTCTGCAAATATTTTTTCCTGTCTAGATTATTTATATGCACAGATCAGAATCTATGCAACCATCATAGTTTTTCACGTACTTTGATGATGCTTTCAGCTCTCTCAGCTTCATTTTTATCACAGAAATGCACAAAAGTCTACTAAATCCATGTGGGCTTACGCATTCAGATGTGATATTAGTGTGTCAGACATGTCTCCTCTTCTGATCTGTCAGACTGTGGGTTTATTTGTCCCTCACTTCTGTCCTCTCTCCTACTGTCTGTTCCCCTGAATGACACTATTGATCAGCTGACCCACCCACTGACAGCAATCTCTCTCTCTCTCTCTCTCTGTTTCTCTCTCTCTGTTATAAATCTCTAAGGTGACAGGGGCAGGCTATCTGTGTGCATAGATAAGGCCTTATTTGGCTTTTGCTGAGACTGCACAGTAAGTGATGAATAGAGAGGAGGAAGGAGAGAGGAAAAGGGCACCTACAAGGAGAAATAAAAGAGTCCCGAGGTGAGAATCTCATTAGGCATTCAAGACTGCCTGAAAACCAGATGAAAATGCACATAGCCATATTTTCCTGACTATTTGTCAGGATGTAAAAAGAGCAGCCTCAGGCAACACATCAATGACAAAATGATGTATAATATTCAGTATTGGGACAAATCTGCTGTCTCAAGCTGTTGTGACTGAAATATGATTTTTTTTTTTTTAAATAAACATTTTTAAGTTTGATTCAGAAATGTAGATTTAAGCTTGAAGGTTCAGAAATTAGACGGTGGTGAGAGTAAAGCTATTGGCTGTTTGATTAGGCTGTCAGTTCTTTTGTGTAATGAGTATGAGTAATAGGGGTGGGCAGATCCTAATATCCATAGTATCGATTCCAACGGTATTGGTATCGGATCGATACTAGCCTGATGAGATCGATACTCTAGGTTAAGTTTCTCTCCTCTACTCTTAATACATTGTTTAATATATTCAACAAAGAGTAGACATCTGTGGGCGTATATGCATTATGCCACTTTAGATGTTTTCATTATAATGGTTTTCTATGGGAGTAAAATGCTTAATGTAATTTAGCATGTTTGCGTATATATTCTGGGCTCAGCTACTTGCCTGTACATATTATATTTTATTTTTAAAAACTGTATACCGAATTTGGCCTTTTTATAACACTGTCTTCCTCCATTACGCCATATCAAATGTTTTTTTATAATGGTTATCAATGAGAGGAAATTAAATGCAGCGTGTTGCATTCATATTCTGGGTTCATCTGCTTACCTTTACAGTACATACATAGTATATATTTTTATAAACTGTATACCGAATTTGGCCTTTTCATATCACTGTCTTCATCCAATAAGCCACTTACGGTAAACTTTTCTTTATAAGGGTTTTCTATGGGAGGAAAATCCATAATGTGAAAACTTTAAGCATTGCTTTCATATTTGGGGCTCATCTGCATACTTGTATATCTAGTTTGCAACATTAATAAGGTGTATACTGAGTTTTGTCTTTTAATATTAGTCTTAAGGTATTAAGCCACGTTAATTTTTTTCTTTATAACTCTTTTCTATGGGAGGAAATTGCTTAATATGAAACTGCACATCGTTTTCATATTCTGGGCTCCTTTTAGAAAGGCAAATAAAGTCCATGTAGCTTTAAGGTGAATGTAATATTTTAGTCATATCAACATTAGTTATTATTGTTAATTTTCAAAGTGTAATTGGTGATTTAAATGTATGTTTTTAAAAGGAAAAAGTATCGTATCGGTATCAGTTTTGGCAATACTGGCCCTGTATTTACTTGGTATCGGATCGATACCAAAATTTGCAGTATCGCCCACCCCTAATGAGTAATGAGAGAAGAGAGGGATGTGCTGTTTAGATTTAGAAGATGTTGTTATTATTATTGTTGTTATTTATAATTCCTGTCTCAACAATAGCATCTTTTTTATATATTCAGAATTCACTACTGTATTTTAAAGTTTAAAGTATTTTATTCTCACCAAGGCTGCATTCATTTGATTACAGTAATATTGTTACAATTTATAATAACTATTTTCAATTTTAATATACTTTCAAATGTATTTTATTTGTCTGATGACAAAACTGATTTTTTTAGCAGCCTTTACTTCAGTCTTCAGTGTCTCACGATTATTCAGAAATCATTCTGATATGCTGATTTAGTGCTCAAGAAACATTTCTTATTATTATTAATGGTAAAAGTATGTGTGCTGCTTAATACTTTTGTTTGGAAACTGTGATTCTTCGATAAATAGAAAGTTAAAAAAAAAAAAACTTTTTTAATTGTTAAAATATTTATTGCATTTTTATTTATTCATTCTTATTTATTTTTTCAAATATATACACATAAATATAGATATGTTTCTGAGGTGCGTGGTGTCTAAACCATGGGAGATGAGTTTGACTTAGTCTGTTTGACACTGCTTGAGTCTCTCAGAGATGACGTTTATTGATGCAGGCAGAGGACAAGATGGCAGATTAAAAACATATCTTAAAGCGGTAGTTCACCCAAAAATGAAAATTCTGTCATCATCAAGTTGTTCCAAACCTTTATATATAGAGCACAAAAGAAGATATTTTGAAGAATGTTGGTAACTAAACCTTTGACAGAAGCCATTTACTACCATACTATGGAAAAAATACAGAAGAAAGAAACTCATACAGATTCGGAACGACTTGAGGGTGAGTAAATGATGACAGTATTTTCATTTTTGGGTCTATCCCTGTGATAGCACAGACCCGAAACCTGCAGTGTAAAGGACACTTGCAGAGATGACTCACCACTTTCCACACAGTGGGAGATAAAGAGAGATAGACAGTGGTCATAAACCGTGTGTGTGTATGTGGAAGCAAGGATGTGCATCAACAGATGGTCTGGCTAATTGATCTATGATTACGACATCCGCTCGGTCATCTCATTTCTATCGTTCTCTCTCACTCTGTTTAAGTTTGTGCCTTAGCACATTTCCAGTTAATACCTGTTATTATTGCACAGCTGAGCCCTCAAAAGCCTAGTGTGCGAATCCACCGGTATTGACTGGAGGGTACAAAATGACTGAAGGTCACAAAAATGTGTGTGCTCATGTGTGTTCTGAATGCTTGTGTGTGTGAAACAGGCATTCTCCCTTTTTATAGAGTGCGATGATATGAGAGCTCATGTTTGAATCAGGAAAGCCTACCCATACTGCATTAAAACAAGCCCCTCTCTCTCTATCTTTGTGTTTCTCAGAGAGGTAGAAGGTGAGTTGGAGGTGGTTTGGGAGGCAGCGACCAGAGAGAGTCAGCGCTTGAGAGAGGTGGTGTTAGGGAGTCCAGCCACCGTGGCTCCAGCCCTACGCAGCACTTCCGGCCAGACTCCTGCCAGGATCCCTCGTGTAGAGTATCATTTGTCCTGCTCACTGCCCCCTCCCTTCACCTCCAGACAGTGCTGTCTGCCACAGCCTTTACAGCGCAGTCACATGTTTGACTCCGACTCCGACCAGCACCAGAATCTTCTGATGAAAGTGACAAGAGTGGACGGGACTCCTGATATATTTCCATATCCTCCTTAACAAGTGTTTTGAGTTAATAAATTAATTTACCTGAATGCTTAATGTTTTTATGTAAAAAAAAAAAAAAAGCTGTTCTTTCTCTTAACTAATGACAAATGTGCTTTGATGCTTTTTCAGCATATACAGGTGCATCTCAATAAATTAGAATGTCGTGGAAAAGTTCATTTATTTTAGTAATTCAACTCAAATTGTGAAACTCGTGTATTAAATAAATTCAGTGCACACAGACTGAAGTAGTTTGTCTTTGGTTATTTTAATTGTGATGATTTTGGCTCACATTTAACAAAAACCCACCAATTCACTATCTCAACAAATTAGAATACTTCATAAGACCAATAAAAAAAATTTTTTAGTGAATTGTTGGCCTTCTGGAAAGTATGTTCATTTACTGTACATGTACTCAATAATTGGTTGGGCCTCCTTTTGCATGAATTACTGCATCAGTGCGGCGTGGCATGGAGGTGATCAGTTTGTGGCACTGCTGATGTGGTATGGAAGCCCAGGTACGGTGTCTAACCATATAACATTCTCGATTACTAATAATCGTTATCCTGCAGATGGAGAACGGTACAACATTTCAGAAAGCATTTGTGACTGAGCACTTCCAGCAGTAGATACACACAATAGCATATGAAATTCTATTACACAAGCCACATGATGAATGACAGAGCAACAGAAATCTCTCTCTCATTCTCTCTAGGATGAAGGTCTTGCACAAGTATATCCCTTTTAATTTTCTTTAATAAGGACAAAATATGGGATGATATAATTAGCATCCTGTTTGTGTATTTTTGTACTAGTGCAGAATTCTAAAAATTCTGGGCAAAAATATGCTGGAATAAACAATTACATTGAGTTTTGTTTGTTTTTCTGCTTATGACCTGCAGTGAGCTCAATTTTCTTTGCTATTCCAAATTACTAAAAACGTGCATTTGTCTTGAGGAGACAGTAACTGCATTTGATTATGCATATACTGCCTCATCAGCAAAGATGGCAAGGATATAAGGTTTTATTTGTATTTTTTAGAATATTGCAGTTTATTATGATTAAGAAGAAAAAGCATACCGCCAAAACACATACAGAAAAAAACAATAAATGCCTTCAGGTGCGTATATCCATAAACAGGTCAAGAAATTAAGATCTGCACACATCAAAATATAGGCCAAAATGTTTTTAATATAAATGATTTATCTGTGGCCATCATTTATTCTTTCAATTAATGTTTTTGAAAAAATACTTTATAAATGTTTATATATATATATATTAAAGTTTATATATATATATATCACATATATTTCTGCTTCATGTTGACTTTATCTACATTTCCTGAATTTAAAACATTTTTGCCAGCACATTACCTTTTTTCTCACTAACTTTTTTAGTGTATTTTTTTAATATATATTTTAGTGTATTCTGGGACAATAAATACATTTTTATCATTTTAAATCATTTATTTCTTATGTTCCGTAGAAGTTACTTGTTTTTTAAAGCAGCCTCTATATAAAAACTCAGAGGTTCTCCTGAGGAGAGAAATCTTAATTCCATAGATTTTAAACAGTAGGTTCTTAAGCAAATCAGCTGTGGTCAGGACAAAACTAGCAAGACACAGCAATAAAACCAGACAGTGACGCTATTGCAATACACCTGATCGATTTAAAAAAAGTGCCTGTCTGACTGTTACAGCATAATTAGGGCAGTCCAATAGTTCTCTCCATAATGGCATTGCACTATTTTAGAGCAAAATTATAACCCTGCAATCACTATGCACAAAACAAACCGCATTCAGGGCGTCTGTTGAAACAGTGGGTCACAGAACTGCAGTTCGTGCGCATGTGTGCAAGCTCCCTGCAGAAATAGAGCACTATCAGTTAGCAGTAGGATATTGATTATAAATCTCATAGATTAGCAGTGGTGTGGTATTTCAAGTGTTAATTAACTGTTTATCGATTGTTATGCTTTAGTGGTTACGCCTTAAATGGTTTTGTTGATTTTTACTGACAGATTGCTGTTTATTGGAGCATGTGTGTTTGTTATATTAAAGGGATCATATGATGCGATTTCAATTTTTCCTTTCTCTTTGGAGTGTTACAAGCTCTTGGTGCATAAAGAAGATCTGTAAAGTTGCAAAGACTAAAGTCTCAAATCCAAAGAGATATTCTTTATAAAAGTTAAGAGTCAACCACACCTACCTAAAACGGTTTGTTCTAACACGCCCCCACGTCTACGTCACGATGTGGGAAGATTTGCATAACGCCGCCCAAATGTTCACGCAAAGAAAGAAGGCGTAACTTTCTCGCTGCAGTATTGTTGTTGCCGACGCCGCCATGTCGTGGAGATGCTGTGTTTCGTTGTGAAAGTGAAACTACTTTGTTTGGCCTTCCAAAAGAGGACGATATCCGCTTTGTCATTCCTAGAGCTGATCCGTGCTGGTTGCTGAGGAAATACATAAACTTTGCGCTGTGGATCGCCAGATCGGCTTTCACCGTGGACGAAGCGGAGTCCAGC